CCCCGTAACCAAGTATTATTATAATTCGAAATAATCTCATTTACATAATAAAATTGAAAATAAATTAACTTAAGAATATCCGTTTTTTTTTGTTTATGTGGTTGGATTTATTTAAAATTTTGAAACTGCTAATATTTCTTTGATAAAGAGAGCAATATAGTGTACAAGAATGTTGGAGCTTTTGGTCACGTTAATAAGAGTAATTTCAGACTTAAGACAACTTTAATGGTGATCTTAAGGCATTATGGTAGATGAAAACTTTTTTTCCAATTTTTGCCGATCGCAAACAAAAATTGACTTAAATCTGTTTTTACTGAATGAGTTTTTGGCAAAAGATGGCAGAAAATTTACTGCAATAATAACTGATTTGTGTTGACCAAACACTCATACCTTTTTGATTCTACAATGTTTACTTTTCTTATCATTGGGAAGCAGAATTCAATAAGCATTGAATTGCCTTAACTCACTTTGGGTCGTTGCAGATGGCTTACCATATACAGGGTGTCCCGTTAAGCGTACGGAGTAAAATCCTTATAAGCAAAGTGGGCAAGAGAAATACCTGGAAATTATTTTGAAGTTCGTAATTCGACCGCTAGGGGGCGAAACTGCCATAGAGAAACATAAAATTCCCGCTATCTCAGAAAGTTAGACGATGAGCTATAACTTTGACAACATCATTTAGTAGCTTGGATAATACCGCATCGCTTTTGTTTTGCAATATTTTTCATATCTGTCATAATAAGGGAGGGGGAGGCCAATGCGTTTTCAAATGTTTACATTTTAATATCTCCTGGACCATTCAACCGATTTGAATATTTTTGGTCTTGTTTGAAAGAGCATTTCATGCTCTTTTAAAAGATATTTTCAGTAAGACCGCTTGGTTTAAAACAAATAAGCTAGAGGGCGTTATCTGCAGCGGTTACATATTTTTGTGATTTTTGAAAAAAAGTTAAATGGAACGGTACTATTTACTTCACAGACCGTTAATCACCATAAAATTTGCTAAATATTAGTGAAAACCGCATCTCGATATCTCCATCCATTCTCGAATTATAAAAGAAAATGTTAAAAATTCGTATATCTTAATCGGATCAAGTTACCTTAGGAAACAAATAAGAGAGAACAAAAATTTTATTATCTAGAACCTTCCTTCACACTTTATCCAAGCTTAGAACTGCTTCAAAACTACTTTTGAGGCGTGTTGAAAAGCCAACGGATCAATGAAACATCAACAATGATAATAAAACAAAATAAACCAAAACACTTAGAATAACTTAAATTTTTGGCAAAAATAACTCACTAATGTGCGAAATGCCTTCCATAAACCTCGATGCATTTATTTAATCTAGTTTCGACGAAAAAAAAGCGCTGCTTAAGTCTCGGCCCTGGCCACGTTTCTACTGGTATTTAGTGTTTTGTCATATTTTCCCTGGTTATTGGTTTTTCTTGAAAAGTCAGGTCGTCTGGTCTACCCAATAGATAAAGGGGTGAAAGCAATGTGGGTTTTGCACGAACCAAGAATGCATATTACGCAAGTTTACATCAGCTTGTGGAATAACACACAAATAGATGCTTCATGCATCCATAGCATTTATGATAAAAGGTTTGGATTTGCCCAAATCATATTTAAAAATCAATGGTAATAGTTCAGTCTGTTATCATAATTTTTCACTAATACGGTTTTCACTAATATTTAGCAAATTTTATGGTGATTAATGGTCTGTGAAGTAAATAGTACCGTTCCATTTAACTTTTTTTCAAAAATATGTAACCGCTGCAGATAACGCCCTCTAGCTTATTTGTTTTAAACCAAACGGTTTTACTGAAAATATCTTTTAAAAGAGCATAAAATGCTCTTTCAAACAACACCGAAAATATTCAAATCGGTTGAATGGTCTAGGAGATATTAAAATGTAAACATATGAAAACGCATTGGCCTCCCCCTCCCTTATTATGACAAATATGAGAAATATCGCAAAACAAAAGCGATGCGGTATTATCCAAGCTACTAAATGATGTTGTCAAAGTTATAGCTCATCGTCTAAGTTTCTGAGATAGAGGGAACTTTATGTTTCTCAATGGCAGTTACGCCCCCTAGCGGTAGAATTACGAACTTCAAAATAATTTCCAGCTATTTCTCTTGGTCACTTTGCTTATAAGGATTTTTTTCCCAAACCTCTTGGCCTTAACGTTCCAGAGATACAGCCGCTCCGTACGCTTAACGGGACACCTGTATTTTAGACATCATGGCATCGACCCATAAAACTACATTGCAGCTATCACGATCCCACTTGTTGTTACTTTCCATGTCTTTAAATATTCTTTTTAGTAAATAGTGCACTGTACTTTTGGTCTTCACCTTCAAAGACTTGTTATGGCCTATATTTCTAAGTATTTCTTTGAATGTTGTAATTTCTTGAAAATGTCACTACTTCCTTCGCTGCTGATATGGATGCCATATTATCCTGTGCGCGTCCGACCCTTCCAAAGTTTACTCCTTCATTCATCCTTACCGTGCAAAACCTCTATCATCGTTAGTCACGTAGGCAGTAATAAGATTTTCCAGCCTCTGCATCTATCTGCTTTCGTTTCTTCGTTTTGTGAATCCTACATCATACTCAGTGACAAACCAATTGCTTCTTTTTCGTTGTTTACCTGGGCGTTTAATTTCTAAACCAGTTGTTAAGAGAGTGTTACATTTTTCTCATCCCTCCTTGGTAAACTTTTCATTAGCTCTTTTTTAAATTGAGCTTGTCTCTGTCTTGTAGAAGTTCGGTGTTGAATCTGGGTAATCTTTCTCCTTTCTTTTTTTTTGTGTCCAATATTCTATTCCATATACTCGACTTTAGCAGGAAATGGTCTGACTCAATCATTAAGTAAATGGGAGCATCAAAGATATGGTGTAAAATATCGGTAGACTCGTTTTAGTACCATAATCATTTGGCAATCTGAATACAACAAAACCTACGAGAGTATTTTATTATTGAACACGATCGATAGGTATCTTTTTTGTTTACGCCAAATAAAACAAAGTGAAGGAGATGTTTTATCGATTTGAATTTTATATACGCTTTATCCCGCATGGACGAGAAAACTTACGTAGAGTTATTGCTCGAAGAGGTGTATGAACTCTTTTCTTGCAACAATACCCAAAGTAGAACACCACTTCATTTATATTTTTCGCCATTTATTATTTAACTTTGCTCTATCAACCTTTATTTTAACACGTACCTCACACACATTAAGATGTAGCACTTGTTATCATCTGTCACATAATGCTTCTTCTCTTCTATTAAGCACACTTTTGTCAGGGTACTAAAAATTGCTTTGAAGCATTAAGATGCTCAATTATTGATTAGAGGTTGCTCGATATTGCGAAAGATTCTAATCTTTAGATATATACTTTTGAACTGTGGTCGTGTTCTGATAACAACAATATGAATGTGGTTTGGGCGACGAATTGAAAAAGGCGAGAAAGACCTTTCGTGATCATTACGACGAGCAAATTATTGTGATAGAGTTGATTGCAGGAAAAAATATTATATTTCTTACCAATCGCTTCAAGGTATTAGATATGTTTCGAACTATTCAAACTCACCTATCTTTTAAATTCCATTGCCAACGTTGAATTATGTATACTTATCGTGTTCATTAAGTCATTCTTCACTTTTTAAGAGAAAAAAGAACGCCTTAGGTTTTTTTAGTTTCTTGTATTCCTCAAAAATTAAACATTAGGAGAAATCAAGGGTTTCTCAAAAACTTGTAACTTTTTTATTACATTGCCAATGTTAAATTGTGTGTACTCATCGTGTTCACTACCTTATTCTTCACTTTCTAAGACAAAGAATAATGCCTTAGGTTTTCAATTTTGTTGTACTCAAAAACTAAGCATTTTGGAAACTTTTCAAAAACATGTAACTTTTTTATTCCATTGCCAACCTTAGATTGTATATACTCATTGTGTTCACTAAGTCATTCTTCACTATTTAAGACAATAACCCTAATTGATGTACACCTCAAAAACTTTATGTAAACATCCACATAAATATGGCAAGAACAATAATTATAAATGTTTAATTAAATTAATAATTTTAAGTTAAATATGCATATTTTTTTTTAATTGTTAACATAAAATGTTAATTAACTAAGGTTACATTTATAACCCCCCAAGGGATTAATCTACAACCATCCTACTTACAGCCACCGGATCGGAGACACAGAGAGTGTCAATAGAATAGGTTTAGGAGGCACTCAAGTTAATTTCTCTCCAAAGTTACTAAACTGAATTCCAACCCCTAATTCATATTCTCATTTATACGAATAATTTTGATTTCAACTTCAATTTGGTTTATTTAAGAAACACTTGAGAAGTATTAAATAGTAATCGATTTTAAATAATTTTATATTTAGAAACGAAATAGAAGCTATAGCGCGTGTAATGGGTGTTTGGAACCTGTTATGGGTTTTAAATCGTGGTCGTTCAACCATTGCTGCAGATCATGCGGGTATATTGCAGCGAAGTAAAGCGGTTTTAAACGCATGGAATGCGGAAAAATTGAAAGTGGTCGCGAGCACCAGATGGTTGGTTTAGATACTGTTTGTAACATATGGTGATTTGTATTGATTGTGGCCGTAACATAATGTTGATAAATTGGTTTTTATACCGGGAAACATTTTCAATTTTATAAATATAACAATATAATAGATTCGATATAAATAAAATTAATAATAAATCAAATTTGAATTAAATGTTTATTTTATTTTTGCCAATACGGGGGGCGTACTTCGTTTATTATCGGCGCTCGTCAATTATCACTGAACGTTCTCGAATTAATTATTTTTTAATAGGCGTAAGTGCCGGGTTTCATATATCACGGTTTTAAAAAACGGCGATAATTGGAATTTGTTCCAGCTCCATCCGGCACGCGAATCGATAAACGATCCACACTCAATTTTGATTTTTCAATTTAATTTTAATTACCTCCTTTTTTTCGTTTCAGGTTTTTTTAATAAATCCAAAATCTACATCGCATGTAAGTACTTTTTTTAATTATTACAATTATATTAATAAGATATATGATATAATCTTGTGTAATATTATCGAGACAAAACGATAAAAAGAGGGTATTAACCCCACTTTCGACTGAAACCGCTTATTTCTGGTGGAGAAATCGAATTCCCGTTCTATCTATCGGATGACGGCACCGCTCCTGCGCTCTAGTTTGAATTATAGAGCTAATTTCGGGTAGAAAGGAAGCGGAAACGATGTGTAACACGGATCGAACTTCGGGCATAGGAAATGGAATGGCAATTTATTGACATCGGGCTCCGAAGTTATCCCGCGCCATATTCCCCGTCGATCCTGGAATTTGCGAAACCGCCAACGATAAACTATTTTAAAAACGAGGGCGCGATTCTTTTTATTTTTTTTTTACATTTTTGTGTACCGGCGGTGCTACAAAAGGCCTTCTTCGCAAACGACCATCATTTTAGCAATTTACAACAAAATTGCTGTGCAATTATTTAAATCGACACAGTGATTTACAGGCGCATAGAATTACGCCCTCGATAGACCCCGTCGGGTGACCCTCATCGATTTTTTAATTAAAATGTTAATATTCAACGTAACGTCAATTCGTAAAGAGAACCCGCTTTCTTATATAACGTATGATATATTTATATCAATCTCAAGTCTCCTTTAATGGGAATTTATATGTAAAGAAAATTTGTAATAACTTTATTATCTTTAGAGATATTGTAATAATAATAACTTTTCTTCAACCTCTATATTTTCGATTATGAATAAATTAAACTAAATGTACCCCCGCCGGTCCTTGAGGCGGAGGCGCTACATCAATGTCATATTGTTACATAAATTGAATGATTTTAAAGAATGACCTGCTTTTTATGTGAAAATGTTCCAATAAATATAAATATTCATTAAAGTATACTGCACGATTTTACATGACTAAACCAAGGTCGTTTGCGGGCGAGACGCTACATCGCTATATCATTTTATGGAAAACCCATAATTTATTGAGTTTCTAATGGTATATGGTCTGCTACTAAGCTTAGTCGTTTTTAACGTGAAATTCTATACCCAACAATTTAACGAAAATTTCTCAAAAATGCGTAACATTTTTATTCCATTGCCAACATTGGATTTAAATAGTCATCGTGTTCAATAAGTCATTCTGCATATTCTAAAATAAAGAAGAATGCCTTATCTTTTTTGTACTCCTCAAAAGGTAACCATTATAGCAAAAAAATTGAGCTGAATAACTTTGTTATTCTATTGCCAACATTGAATTGTGTACAAGTACACAGGTACATAAGTTTCATTATGTAATTTTGTTCATCGTGAAATAAATCACAATACTAATATTACTAATAAATGTAAACATGTGCTTCCTAGACATTCTTTCAAACAGAATAATATAAATGGGGAATTCTGCCGGAAGGTGTCAAACGGAATAAAAGTTATGAGGGTTTAAATGTTAATGACGTCGGTAACCGGTGAACGACTTATTAATTTTGCTGGTTTTTTACGAAGTCTTTGATGTAAAGTTAATGGAAGTTAATGGATGTCAACTCCTGATGCTTTAGATGCCATAATAAGTGCTGACCTACCTCTCATATTATCGATTGACTAATAATTACCAAATTTTAAGGTTTAAATTATACATCGTTCCATTATCTCCAAAAATAAAGTCTCAAATAAACACTAATTGTAGACCGTTTCAGTACTTTTTCATAATCAACGTAAAAATCCTTATAAATCATTTTAACACGTTGACTGCCGTGTGTATCAAAACTGGTACACACTTCTGTAGTGTAGTAATGCGCGTGATATACCCGCGGCAGTCAACGTGTTAAAGTACAAATTTCAAGGTTCAATTCAAATCATAAATCATTTCTGTATCTTCATAAATAAAGTCAGAGCGATTTTTTGAATCTTTTCATTTTTTAATAATTCTCAAATAAGCACTAATTTTAGACAGTTTGATTTTGGACCGAATCAGATACATTTCCATAATCAACATAATCCTTATAGTCTTAGAACTAGAAACATTCGGGTTTAGCCACACATCTCTCAAGACGCTAGGCGAGTCTTCAGACGCACGGCTAAACCCGATACTTTCTAGTTCTAGGTCTAGTGTTAGTTCTAGTTTTAGTGCAATAAAAATATCCGACATAGTGATATCTCATGCTAACTAGCGTTACCTACCACTGTCACTAGAATTAACACTAGACTTAGAACTAGAAACATTCGGATTTAGCCGCACGTCCCTCAAGACGGCTAAACCCGAATGATTCTAGTTCTAGATCTTGTGTTAGTTCTAGTGATAGTGCTAGTGCAATACTAGAACTAACACTAGATCAAGAACTAGAAACATTCGGAGTTAGCTGCATGTCTTTTAAGACGGTTAAACCCGAATCAATCTAGTTCTAGGTCTTGTGTTACTTCTAGTGATGGTGCTAGTGTAAAACTAGAATTAACACTAGACCTAGAACTAGAAAAATTCGGATTTAGCCGCACGTCCCTCAAGACGGCTAAACCCGAATGATTCTAGTTCTAGGTCTTGTGTTAGTTCTAGAGATGGTGCTAGTGTAAGACTAGAATTAACACTAGACCTATAACTAGAAACATTCGGATTTAGCCGCACGTCTCTCAAGATGGCTAAATCCGAATGATTCTAGTTTTAGGTCTTGTGTTAGTTCTAGTGATAGTGCTAGTGTAAAACGTGGTATCTCAACAACTAATCGAGATACGTTTAAATCTTTTATTTTCTTAAAAAGTGGGTTCCTAGCGTTATAATTTGGTAAAAGATTCATTTTGGTGCCTTAAAAAATCGTTGAGTTATGATTTTTTAACTCTAACTAAAATAACTGGTTTTTTGTAGAAAAACAGGCAATATTTTTTATGAAAAGAAAAATGGCAACTGTTGTACCATTTTGGAATCTTGACTAAACAGGCCATCTTTTAAAATAACTTGCCAAGGGTGTTGTACCACTCCGTTTTTTTTTAGAAATCCTGTGTCAAACTTAATAGACATAAATTCTTTCAACCTTAACTCAATCAAACTACATTTTTTTTGCAAAACTAACGATTTTTGTTGTTTAATTTGTGACTTCTGTACTATACTAGTCAATATTAAAAGTATTCAATAAAAATACGGAACATCCACTGTCACTAGAACTATCATTAGACCTACAACCAGAAACATTCAGACGTGATGCATTTCATGTAGGACAAAGTAAGTAGGTGTCTATGGAAATATATTTTTAAATAAAGAAACAGCGAATTTTTGAATATCATCAATTTTTGATAATTCTCAAATAAAGACTAATTTTAGATTATTTCATTTTAGACCGTTTCAGATACCTTTTCATAATCAACATATCAATTCGTATACATCATTTTAAAGTACAGATTTCAAACTTTAATTTAAGCCATAAATCATTCCTTTATTTCAATAAATAAAGTCAAAGCGATTTTTTGAATTCTTGAAAAATGAACACTTCTTTATTACAAAATTAATTACTGTTTTTCTACACATGTAAATGATTGTAATAAAGTTCTTACATAATCTTTTCTTATTCTCATCATTTCGAAGAATCTCATTTTAGGTTTCCAAGTCGAAAAGGAATTTCGAATTAAATTCCCGTTCCGAAGGCAACAATACAATTCAAGTCAGAATTAAGGCCGCCAAACAACCGATTTCGTACGCCGTAGCAGTTTCATTGTCGCCGTAGGAAGGCCGCCCGATGGGGGTTAGGAATCTCGATTCCTCGAAGATCCACAATACCCAGACAAGAAGAGGTCTCTAACAATCTGTCATCCAGTTTGTCCCTAACAAGTCGACCGAAACGAATCATGAGAACCACAATTTTTTCTTTTTAGTTAATTGAAACCTCTGTGTGTCATTCGGGTTATCAAAAAACCAACCGTGATTTTTACTGGTTTATTAACCTAACGTTATTTTTAAACGATATGGTGTGATAAGACGTTTGGTTTTACAGTTATGCTTTTTATACGCGTAAGTAAATAGAAAGGAATTTAGGACAAAGTTGATAATGAGTTAAAACGAAAATGATTTCAATCTGACTCATAATATTGACTCTATTATTGTTTGAGCTTTTAGTCGTAGTTTGTAATTGGAAATCAAATGGTGCTCTGAGCGATCCACTTCACTCTTGTCTGTAAGCTGACATTCAAAGTATGTGTAGTACGTACGGTCATGTACTCACCATACCTCAACCCTTACCCCTCAGTACGGTAGTGCTCGCCACGAGGTTTCCTTCGCCACTGGAAAATCGATAGGCTCGACCTCTGCACCGACCTACCCGGCGTGTATTTTCACAGAGTTCGGCAAAACTGAATGTATACGAACACACATACGTACACGCCACCTGTTATATAATGTTGAAAATCACATAAATTGGTTTTAATGAAATTACGAAAAGGGTAAAATTGAACAGAAGGAATATTTTGATGACAGCGTTGTTTAAATCAACAAAAACTAAAACTGGACCTGTGTCTACTATTAATTCGTGGGAATTTATCCGGGTCGGGACAATATTAATTAATGAAATTCTGTATATAAATAGAACACAATGTAAAATAGTGGGTTAAATCCGACGAATAAAATATGCACGAATAACACCGGGTTAAAATCAGACTCTAGTTTTGGGTAGACCGGTATATGTAATTAGATGAATTATTTATCGCTCGATACATGATGAATTGGGCACGTCGTTGTTTATTATTGAAAGGGATTTGGTGTTCGGTGATGCAATATTTTCGGGTTTGAAAATCGGGTCGTTCGGAAACTGATTGCTTGTTCTGCGTCGTTCTCAAACAGCCCGTCAACGAAACGACATCGAAGCAACAAAGCCGACGTCTCTTCTCCTCGGTTCGAAATCGGAAAAATAAACGTTTTCCCGAAAGCTGGGTTAGGTGTTTGGTACCGTAACACATACACGGTACGACCGCACGTAAAATAAACAGCCAGCGACGGTTTATGAGTAA